AGAGATCAGCAGAGGGTCCCGCTGAGGCGGCGGCGGCGCGGCGCCGTGTGCGGGGAGCGCAGGACTGGGCGCTGCGGGCGGAGGCGCCGGCCCCGCGGCTGTGGGTGCTTGGTTTGGGATGAACTCATCCAGATCATGCTGCTACAGCTCCCCCACCAGCATCCGAGAGCTAAGGGAGAGAGCCAGTGCGGCTCCTCGTCCGACTTCTCGGCAGCAGTAAATATGGGGAGACACAGTTTTGTGTCCAACACTATATAGGCGGTGTGATTAAAAGAAAACAGGTATGATTTGTCGGAGTGTTGCAGTTCTTTTTAACTTTGCTGTACTTGTGTCAAGGTGCTACTGAATTTCTGCATTTTTTGGTCTTCAGAGAGCAAATTCAGCAGAACTCAGCTGTTGTGGAAGAAGTATTATCCCAGGGCAGCTTTCTTACCGGATTAATGAGTGCTATTTTGTTACTGACAGGCTTCTGGAAGGATTTGTCTGCCACATGATTATTTTCTAATACAGTCAACCATGTCATCCCACCTCACTGTAATACAAAATAAGCAATGGACTGGTCTCTTCAGTCAAAAGAAGTGTGAACAGTCACCATTTGAGTCACCCACATTGATAAGAACATAAATATCTTGAAAACAAGTAATGCTAGGTTTTATTCACTTAAAAATGCAGTGCTTATCCCACCTGTTTCCAGCCTTTGCACTGCCAGTGAAAGCCAAGTGGAAACTGTAAATATATGGGGGAAATAAAAATGGGTAATACTTATAGAGGTAATAATTTATATTTTTGGTATGTGTAGGATGGTGAAAATGCATCTGCTGAGGAAAATGAGGGAGATGTAGAGGCCCCATCTTCATCCAGAAAAGCATCTGGGAAATCCCAAAGTCAGGATGAAACTGATGGTAGGTGTTTTTAACATAATCATTCGTATTTAAAAAGGCATGGGAAACATTTACTTTTTGATAACTGACTTCATAAAAAACTGGCTCCATTTTTCTCCTCCTGGTCTCTGCAGGGACTGAAATAAAAGAGAAACGAACAATTATGCTTTTTTTCAGATGGGGGTAGGGTAGGAGCAGTCTTGTGTTTAGATGCTCAATGTCCAAGTCAGAATAAAAATAACCAAACGTATCCAAGTCTAAAAAAATAACCATAAACCCAAGTGTGATCCCCAAGTTCCTCTCCTATATAGGCAATACATGATCGATTTCTTTTTCAGTGCCTGCCTTATACTTTGATTATTTTTAAATCAAATCTTCAGGCATCCAATCCTCCACCTCAAACCTTCGAACCCTACATATTTGGAGTTTTGTATATAGATCTGTGGTCAGTTATAACCCTGGGTTCACTTCATAATGAGAAGTAATAAATAAAAAATGGGAAATTTTTTTAAAGTATATGCCTTAAGCATATTGATTCAGAGTACTTAGCATCATTTTCTTACCTATTTTAAAAAATTCTGTTCTTTTTCCAGAGAAATGCAAATAATCTGGATTTTGCATTTACACATGCTAAAAGGTACTTGTTGTCATGGGTGAAATGGTTACAAGATCTTGTTTTCAATTACTACTGAAAATTGGTTGCTGGATTGTTGTGTAGTAGAGTCCTCTGCTCACTTACAGCCTCTTCAGCTGAAAAGCTTATTGCAGCCAGCCAGCTCAGTGCTTGAAAATTGCTTAATATTCTTCTGGATTGAGAAAAATGTTGATTAAACTGTGGCTTCATTCTCTGTGTTCCTTCCTGCTTTCATTTCAGATATCCAAAAGATGTTACAGGCTGGGCTGTACCAAGCATTGGTGATGAATAATGCAGAGCTTTAAAACCAAAAGAGGCTGTTAATAGTTTTCCTGCATTTCTGCAGGCAGCACTCTTACAGAGTAGCTGCTTCAAGTGGGCTGCTGTTTTCTCTGCCCTTGTCCAGAGAAGCAGCATTTCCTCTTCATTATATCATAGACCTATTTTACTTCTTTTTCAACCAGAAGAAACAACAGATGGGGTCAGTAAATCTGTTCATCGGGTCTTTGCGTCCATGCTTGGGGAAAATGAAGAGGAGGAGGATGAAGAGGAGGAGGAAGAAGAAGAGGAGGAAGAAGAAACTACTGAGCAGCTGACAGCTGGAGATGTTTTTGTTTTGGAGATGGTTCTTAATCGAGAGACCAAGAAAATGATGAAAGCAAGTATTTAAACTTTCATGTAACTTCCACGTGTCCCTTGGCCATAGTACATAAATACCACTTCGTGTGACTTTTAGCTGCTTACTGAGGAATTTGTCTGAAAATTGTTCCATGTAGGATAATCCTGCTTATGCTGGTGTTTGTTACACTGTCTTTGTTATAAAAGCACTGTAGTTTACAGTTTCACTGTTTGAAAGATTTCAGAAGGCATTAAATCAGTTTTGCCAGTGTCAGAAAACTATGAATATAGTTTTGAACCAAGTGAATATATGAATATAGTTTATGAACCAAGTCTTTTGGTTGGTCATTTAATATTGCTTATACTTAAACAGCTTGGTGTTAGGTGGTGTTAAGCACAGTGTCTCCTGAATTTGGGCACAACTCAACTATGGGCAGAAATAGCATCCCTTTTCCATTTAGGAGAAAAGACCTCGCAGCAAGCTTCCCCGTGCCTTGAGGGGTCTGATGGGAGAGGCCAACATCAGATTTGCTCGAGGAGAGCGTGAGGAGGCCATTCTGATGTGCATGGAAATCATTCGACAAGGTATGGGAGAATGGGAAAACCTCTGGGCTTTAAGGATGGGGTTGAGATTTCCATGTGCAGGAGGAGGATTCAGTGTGGCTTCACTGAAGATGAAAATGAATGGTACAAGCAAAGTCAGGGTATAAGGAGGAGAATTAAGAATATGTAGTGAATATAGAAATATATATAGAATATAGAAAGAAACAAGCACCCCAGTTCTGCAGAGGCACAGGCCATGGCTTAGCTTTGCAGTTTGCTTTTATTGTCTTTGTAAGGTGAAAGGTATAACCAGCATGACTTGCAGTGTAGAATAATACTATAAATAGTTGTTTGATTCAGTCAGGCTGTTTAGTAATTTACAGAAAGGAATCAGAAACTTTTGTGCAAGTTTTTT